GGCATCTGTTTTCTGGGCACCACCTAAAATTTAAGTGACCTTAATTTGGTTTTGGAGTGGAAGTCTGCCAATGTGCATGTTTGCAAATGGATTCACTGGCAGAACTTTTCTGAGGCAATTTCCCAACAAAAAATTTTTGGGACCTGTAGTACAGAAAGCATTGCTCAAGACATTACCTACCACCCAGAACAGAAAAAAAAAACCCCAAAACATGGAGGTGTTTCTGAAGAAGTTTCTTGTTACAAAAGACTCGCTATCGAGTCTCGCYATCTTTCATGGCAGAAATATACCTGAAGGCATTTATAAAATTACAAATAGTTTTTGAGGTTTTTGCAATAAGCAAGTCTTCCTTAAATGGGAAATATAAAATTGTCCAAAATTCTRTATCTTGAAAGAGAAGTTTCARATAWAAAGCCATAAGGAAACAGGATGTTTTCAGTTATTAAATWTTATCAAGACTAGGAATATGACATTAAGGACAGAGGTCTGTAAGGGGAGTCCATCAGGAGTGAAATGAGAACTCCACTGAAGATATTGGAAGATCTCCCACTGACCAGAAGGSGATGGTGTGARTAAAAASATTTTCTTGACATTCCTGAGTAYACCAAGCATAAGAACAAGACCARGAAATGCATTAMTTCTGTAATATTTCTGAATATTCARAAGGATGTCCTGATCTGTGCAAATCTAAAYCATTGCAGACAAGCTGCAATCACCAGGTCAGGAAGAGCTGTCAAACAGCTGCTTCTGGGTCAAGATGGTTTCTGTTTTCTTTTGGACCAGAGAGAACATTATTCACAGTTCTGACAATTAATGCAGCAGAGTGCTGTCCCAGCAGAGTGCCTGTATCTCCTTCTCCCCCTACAAACCTCATCAATCTTTGAATTTGTCTTTAATATCATATCTTTAAACAATATTTATGTATTGAAGCACAACTCTGACCTGATGGCAAATCCATCCTTCAGGACCCCTTTTTCTTCCCAACCAGATTTCCTTGGCAGGGGTGTGAAGGAGCTCCAAATCTGCAGAACTGCCCTTTAACATTTTACATTCTGTAACCAAACTTCCTGTGAAAAGTTAATGTAAGGGACATATCCAGCCTGACACGCTGATTTCRTTCYTCACATAACMACAAAAATGTCTTCACATAACAACAAAAATGTCTCATATTTGCTCAACTGAGTGATTGACAGAACTGGGGGTATAAAACAAAATACTTTTTATGTCAATTTTTATGGCAYACTGATTGCTTTTTAGMAGTTCTGGYAGTAAATGTCATTAAATAGTTTGYAATAATAAGAATTTGTAATAACAATATACAAATAATTTATAAATTATTTGCAAAAATAATTTGTAACTAACTATTTTTGGTCTTTTTTTTTTTTGCAATTCAAATATTTGTTGCATTCTGAAGTTCAATACATGAAGTTGTTTATCAATAAAATAGCAAAACTTGAGACTACAACTGTTTGTAGACTTAGTTTCTTATCTCTGCTTTTGACACTTCAGATGTTTCATGGGATTATTTTATGCCTAYAAGATATATATTTTCTGTAAAGATTTTGGGAGCTTTCTCAACTTTGAAGTAGTTTAATGGAAATACAGAAAAACAGCTTAGAGAAAGTTGAAGTAYAGGAGTAGGTGTTGAAAGGGGACAAGAAGTTATTTGAAGGCTTGAAAAATGTCTTGCAGTGAAAAACTTAAATTAGAATTGGCTAGAAATGCTTTGATGCAATGTTTTTCAGATGAGAGTATCTATTCATCAAATTGAAACTCTGCTGGAAGGGATCAATTTTCATATTTCTGGTTTTGAAATGTTTCCAGCAGTTYCAAAGTTGTTAAAACATCCTCCTTAAACATTTTCTAAATGAAAAAAAAAACCTACAATTTTCAGTTCTAAAAGTCTTCTTCTCAAAATATAACCTAATTATGCCAACCATTCCTAAACTTGAGCTGGAAATATTGCAAATTACTCCAAATTGAATTGCTTTTTTGTTTTCTTCTTCTTTTTTCCCCTTTATTTATTTCTGGTAGACCATCAACACTTTCAGAATTCTGCTTTTTGTCAGTCTTCGACAATGGAATTTTTTTTTTCTTTTTTCTTCAAAAACATTTTTCTTTTTTCACAAAAAAAAGGAAAAGCAGAAATCATTCTGCTCTCATTTGATTGATGACAAATTGATTTCCCCAAGTCAAGTCTGTTTTGCCCATGACAGTAATAGCTCAGTGACCTCTCCCTGTCCTTAACTTGACCCAGACGCTTTTTTATTATATTTTTTCCCCCCTGTTTAGAAGAGGGGAGTGATAGAGCAGCTTTGATGGATGTTTGGCATCTGTCAATCAACCCACTACAGACTGGCACTGAGGTCAGCTTGAGTGCAAGATGCCATTAATAACTCTCCATGAAATTAATGTCCTTCATCTGCTGAAACAGAAGTKCCACAAACCACCTGCTCAGAATGATCATTGTCCTTTCCTAATTCCTGATCCATGGCTAGGAATTGACTGGGAGAGTGTGAACTGTTTTAAACTCTTCCAGAAAATGGTAAAGTCAGCTGAGTTTTGAGTGCTGGGTTTCTTTCCTGGCACAGTTGATTTTATTTGCAATTTGTAGAGGGTGTCTTATGAAGCACAGCAAATCWGTTAACCCCAAATACAAAAAAAAACATGAAAGGAGCAACGACTGCAAATTACAACTACTGAAATACAGATTTGCAACAGGGTGAGTGACTAACCATTGAAAGAAGATATAAACTCTTAATGTCTTCCCTTGTAAAGACAGAACAGTGCTGCAGAGCATGCACAAGCCAAGCACAAATTAGTGAGTTAGGAAGGATATTGGGGTAAAGAGTAGATTAAAACAAATAATAACCTTTACTGGGTATAAATTATCCAGAGAAATCATATGTAGAAGCATCATTTACTCCCTTTGTTATATTATTATTATTAGGTAWAATATGCATCCATTCATTTTATGGAGGCATCTTCAACCCAGAATTTGCCATGCTGACGTGCTTATTTTACACTACATTGCTTATTTCAAGGGCTACATTTTGTCATTTGCCTAAAGGTAGAAAAGGAAGGCAGTAGAAAAGGAAAGCACCTTTCTCAGCTCTGGCAGGAAATGGCCAAGGAGCCAAACTTCTGCTCAGGGCAGTACAGCAGCTTGTGCCAAACTCCCTAAATCCAAAAACACCTCTGCTAATTTCCCCATGATGCTGGCCAGGGCATATCTGATGTAAGGTTGAACAGAACTGYACCTATCAAATCTCCAGACTACAACATTTTCTATGTTTTTGCTGTTTTTCTCTYATTTTCATGAGAAGCAGTCCTTAAGTTCAGTGTTTTTTACTGAGAGATGCASTTGGATATTATATATCAACAAAGAAAACATTCCTGAATTCTCATCTTCATCTTTCTAGCCTTCATCATTTCTGTCTCATCTTTCCATCTCCATTGCCCATGAGGGCTGGAGAGGTACACAYTGTTTCATGGAGCTAATCCATACCCTTTTCTTCATGTGAAAATCTATAAAAATATGCTCAAACCCTCTTTGCAGTGATTCCGCTCAGTAGTCTGTAGCCTGGAGTTATGSATACAAAGTATTAGCAGTTAAACTGTCAAAACTCCTTGTAACAAACAGGAGCAGCCATGATTTGGGGGATATTTAGTGAATAATTTTAAGGCTTAAAAAAGGACCTTTTGGAAAGGAAATGGATTTTTTTTTTTTTTTTTTAGTTCTAATGTTACACAATATTGAAAAAATCAAATGGAAACATGTCACGCAGAATAAAACTCCTAATTAGACCTCAACTGGCATTCCTGGTGATCTCCTAAAATACGAGTGGGTCTGCAGGATTGTGCTGGGATGAAATCTGCTCTCCTGTCTTTTGCTGGATATGCTGAGCAGTTTTGGCAGCAAAAGTCAAGCACAGGGCAGCAGGGGTGGCTCAGTGTAGAGCGTGATCTCTGCACAGCTCAGGGCATTTCACAGCACTCTCCAAAGCCAGCTGCGTTTGCACAGCAGAGTTTTGGATGCTGATATATCTGTGCTATCTTGGTCTCACACAGTCCTAATCCAGAGYTGAGGATTGAACCACAGAAATTTCTTGTTTATGAGAGGCTTTATCTTGTTCCTATTTACGCCTGAATGTTAAGGGTTTAAAACATTCCTGAAGCAGTTGGCACACGGAGTCAGGAGTTGAGCAAATTTTGGAGAAATCTATGCCTCAGCCTGGCAGTTTAGATCTGCTCTGTCTTCTTGAGCACTGAGAGATGTTGGCTGGGGCTTAACTTTTTCATSAAGATGTGTTCTTGATGTCCTAAATAGATGTTCCCAAGAACTAAGGATCAACACCCTCTCACAAAAATGGAAGCTGTTGATGTTTTCAGGAGCTGTGTGTGCTCTGCCTGAAGTCAGTAARAAAAGGCAAGTTACCTGCAAGCAAAAGCTGCCTATTAAAGTGCCATTATTAAACTCAAAAAACTGGATTTGGGACCGGAGTTCTCACGTGTTTACTTTAAATCTGATTGAGGCAATTTGTTGTTTGATTGTTATAACTTTGCTTTACCCCTGGTCAATATTTYTTTTACCAACTGATCTCAAAATCCTTTGCYAGCAATGGCTGGGAGTTTTGGGGAYTATYTTGTTGGTCTCTTACTTCCTGAGAAGAATGTCTGAAGGAGTGTGTGGCGAGTGGAGCAGGTCAACCCTTGGCCTCAACAACAATAAATGGAGTGTTTGTGAAGCAGATATTGGAAAATTATAACATCTTAAAGGTAGAGGCTTAAATATTAAAAACAAAAACAACAAACAAAAAAATAACAAACAAAAAAATAAACCAAACTCACAACTTTAAATAGGACTTTAAAGCTCTACACAAACATAGTGATAAAAATACTTCTAAAATACTTCTATCTCCTTGCCTGGGCAAACTTAATTTTCTTTTTTCTCTGCATGTTTGTCTGTCATGGTGATCTTTGTTTCTGATTCCTTGCAGACATCTCAGTCAGCCTGTTGGCAGTCGTGGTCAGCTTCTGTGGGCTCGCCTTGCTGGTGGTCTCGCTCTTTGTCTTTTGGAAGTTGTGCTGGCCCTGCTGGAAGAGCAAACCTCTCACTTCCAGCACCAACAATGTCCCACAGAGCAGCTCCAGCGCTCCCACCGAGGTTTTGGAGAACAGCGAGAAAAAGGAAGTTAAAGAAAATGGGAAAGCCGCCAGCAAGGGGCTGGAAGCGGCGCTGAAAATCAGCCACACTTCACCTGACATACCCGCAGAGGTGCAGAACGCCCTGAAGGAGCACCTGATCAGACACGCTCGCATGCAGAGGCAGATCACAGAGCCCACATCCTCGTCCAGGTAAGCCAGAGCAGCTCACCCTGGTGGAACCCTSTCACGATCCGCTTAACTCAAGCGGGGGTCGTGAGGGTTCGTTATCAGAATCTCGGAGYGCAAAAGAAAACGAGGGGCAAATATATRTGCTTTAAATAATCAAGAACAATTTATTTGGATATTTTGCGATAGAAGAGGGTGAGAGAGAGAGAAAGAGAGAGAAAGAGAGAGAGAGAAAGGGTGGGGTTATAGCTACCAACGGCTCCGACAAATCCTCCAAGGTTCCATGGATTCGCCAGTATCCATTGGGAGAGATCTCCATCGGGGTCTTCTCGGAGAGACTTTTTATAGTTTTTTTTAAAGCAAGTGACTGCAAGCCAGGGGGTGGGTGCAAAGCATGAGCCAGAGATCTGACCCCACCTTGATCCAGCTCGGACCCCCACCCCCCCTGAAAGCAGGTGGCAGCAAGTCAGGGGGTTGCAAAGCATGGAAACCTGATGGAAACTTGTGGAGCATGGAGAGGATCGGTCGAGCGGTGGGGAGAGAATGTCCATCCATGAGGTCGCAATGCTCTCTTTAAACAGCGCAGCCATCCATGGTGGACACGTTGTACCTGCCAGCCTTGGAGCTGGAAATCTGGCAGTCACCCCACCTTGATCAGCTCGGACTCCTCCAAGCAAAGAGTCCCCCTTTTCTTCCCCTCGGGGTTCTCCTTTTTGGGGTGTTCAGTCGATGATCGTGAGATAGTCAAGGATCTTTAGTACGATCTCTTACAAACGCTTCCCAGGAACACATAGGGTAGGAGCAGAAAATTTTGGCTGAAAATTTCCAGGATCTGGATTATTCACAGGTTTCTCAGCTGTTGAGGGTGAATCATCAGTCGTGTGAAGGTGAAGCTGCAGCACTCTCAGAATATTCTAAAGCATTTCATGTGCCTTCAGTTTTTAACATATGAAAGCCAAATCTACATCTTCTGCTACATTGTAAATACACATGTTGCTACTTTTAGCCTTTCCCTTTTGGGTTTTGGTTATAGGAAAACCTATTTCAGTGTTKTTTTTTTTAAAGTCTAGCTTTTCACAGAGTTGTTTTTTATAGATATATCAGTTGTTTTTGCAGAGGAAAGTTTCCCTCTCAACCAAATAAATGACAGACTCGTTGGTGATTGCACATTTCCTTAAGACATGGTTTGCTGATTATGAAGGAATTAAAATTCCAGCCTAAAAATACAGATCCTTATGGKCTGATCTTAAAGCTGCACAGATTCTATACAGGTCTATAAATAAATGACAAACATACAGCAATCCTTAGTGGTTTCTTTTGTATTAAAGTGGAGGACAAAAACTTTAATTTTGCGTTAGGTACCATTTCATATTTAAAAGCAGTGAAGACGTGCTGGGACCTATAGATTCAAATGGGATTTTCTTGAAACGCTGTCAGCAAATTTAAAGCAGGGGAACAAATAATGAACTGCAARGGGCAAATCCTACATGAAAAAGGGAAGTGTTTTGTAAACAAAGAGTGGGAAAATGAAGTCTAAAAGAGGCACCTGAAGCATTGTGTAATGCCATAAGTTACAGTATAGATAATGTGTAGGAAGAAGCTTTCCCTCAAAATGCAATATTCTAAGGAAACATATGCTATAAAAAAGAT